TAGTTAATATAAGTAATATAAATAAGTATTAGAATTATTAAATGAAGTAGTTTAAACTTAAATACAATAAGTTAACAAACTTTTCAAATCCAAATTTACCTTAAACATCTTGATCATTCTTTTTTTTGACTATTTTTTCGCATTTAGTACTTGTATATAGTTAATATCTAGTAATAATAGTAATAAATAGTGAAATACTTGCTTCTAAGTGAAGTTTTCGAGAACGAAGCTAGAAATGGTCTTTATGGTGATTTTTTATTAGTGAAACTTTATATTCTCAAAAAGTACTTTAAACTGTATAAATAAGTTACCCGGGCAATTGATTACATCAGCCAATTAGACGAATGTCCTCCTATGAAAGTATAAGTCTGTCGCTTCGCTTCAGACCAAAAAGTTAATCGCATAATAAAAAAAAAACAACATTAATATATTATGCTCTATATATCATACCCGGGTCTTTTAATAATTGTTTCCTTATTGTATACTCGGGTCTCTTACATTCTACCAAAATTTCAACCCACACTATAGACCCGGGTATGGTACATAGTGGATCTACTATCAAGGGGGTCTTGTATCCGGCGTTTTACGGTATTTACGAAAACTGTTTTTACCCAATTTATACGTAATGCTATTTAATATAGAATCTAAAACTAATCGACTCCATGTGCCTTCTAAGCAATGTGTTTCTTTAATATCTTTATCTCACAAAGAAAATCTGTATTAAAAAATTATAAAAGGTTATTTAAAATTAGAAGTAATTTAAAATTTAATTTTTAAATATAATAAGGTACATATACTTGCAAACATCTCACATGAAAATATAGAAGGGCTGTTTTCTATCATCATCATTTATTTTTCCAAAATTATCATATTGCTATCTTTTTTGATCACAATAAAGTTTTTGAAATAAATTTCTAAAATTTACTGGAAGATCTATAGTATATCTATTAGGGATACATGCTATTTTTTCGTAAATTTTTGGTCCGATAAGCTCAAGAAGTTCTTCTTGAAGTTCAGTAAAATCAACTATATATGATAAAATAGGATGATCGTAATTTAATGTTTTAATTTTATTCCACTTTATAGTCTTGGCAAATGAATTGCCAATATCTACATCGATCTCTTCATTATTGGTAATAATCTATTCAGATAAGCATAGCGGGCTTTATTATGATTGGCTGATTTGTGAAGATCATCTAATCATAATAAAGTCTTATTAAAGTAACGATTTGCTATCACAAGAGTGCACAAAAATGAATTCGGGGCCACAGATACGAATTCGGCAAGGTTATGACATAAAGATTTAGAAACTACACCTTCGGCTCTACAACATACCAAAGTAATTTGGTAATTGACGAGGTAATTCAGAAGTTAAATGAGAGGTATGTTTAAACGTTTCAATTTAACCAGTATAATATACTATGTATTAAACTTGGTAAAATGAGTTATTTTTTAAAAGGTTTACAATACTAATCTATTTTATTTATTACTTATTTATTTTTCTAAAGACAGATGCATATTGCCAGTAAATAAATTAGTGATGTGAAGCAATGAAAGCATGAGCTTGCGAACTTTATGAAGGTTAAAATATAGTATTCCGTCTATTATTAAAGCATAGTGTTACATTTATTATTAATTTATAATATGACTAAATTCGTTGGGCATTAATTTACCGTTATTATATACAATTAAAAAAATTATTTATATGATTTTTATAGTCTTTTAAAACAAATGGTTTATATTTTTTATTTGTTTTTTTGCTTTTATAATTTTATTTTAATTTTTTTTGTATAAATATAAGTTATAGTTTTTTAAAAAATAATATCTTGGATTTTTTGTTTCGAGATGATTGTATTAGACTTTGAGTTAATAGATTTTGTAGTAATGCATTTATTAATGCCAAATTGATTTTATACAGTATTAATAAATATTTGATTTTTAATTATATTAGATATAGTTTTGTATAAATTTGTCTCGCGAATATTTTCGATTAACCAATGATATTTTTGCAATATTACGGGATGATCTACAAAAATCAGCCAATTATAATGAAAGCCCGCTATGCTATTCAGATGTATTATTCTAATATATAATTAGAAATTTTGTTAGAAAAATAGATTTAAAAATTTTATAATCATTTCATAGATTAAAAATATTCGATAGTGTACTTGTAAGAAAACATATTTTTTGAATACATTTCTATGATGAATATCGCCGCCGACTATCTCATCACTTATATTTGGATAAAGCTTCTTTTTTTCTAATATCGTTGCGAGTTCTTGTTCATACCATTTAACAAATCCACATGGATTCTTTTGTAGCAAATTAAAAAAAGGCTTAATGTCACATCTACAAATTGCCTTAAATAAGTTATAAATAGTATAAAACATTATTAGTACTGTTCAAGCAAGATAACTTTAGGTATATTTCTAGTATAACAACTCATAACACTTTAGCAAAGATCATGAGCAACCACAAGCATGCCTTGGATATACCATATAGTATTAGTATAGCCAGATACCAGAGGCGCATATGTGTTCGTCATGATAATATATGAAATAATCTTCCGTCAGACAAAATCATAACCAAAACAATACATAATGAGATTAAACAAAAGCAATAGATATAATTTGTGTTACAAATAAAAATTTGCAACAGATCATGAGCGACTACAAAATAATGTGTCTGTTATAGTAACAAACGAATTGATCTATCAAGTATCTACATTATATCTGAGCAATGATTAGTAACCGAGCGATAGAATTATTTCATGTTGCAATAAGGTTACATCTAAAGATCTAATCATAGGCAAAATGTATGTATATAATTATTAAATAATTACCTCTTTACTGGCTTTTATATTCTTATTTGTCCACTTTTCTTGTTGACGTACCCTATTTATTCCATTGGCAAATAAAGTGTAATCTTTGCCAAAAAATTCGACCTCCAAGTTATTACACACATGCCAAATATAAAAGTCGAGTTGAGTTACTAGTCGAGGATTATATGTTTGAAAAAATTTTTCCAATGATTCAGCAACGGTTGGGTTATAAGTGGGAAAGAAATTACAAATATCATTCCTATTAATGGAGATATTGGTTGAAATTTCTAAAAATACAATACGATTCCTTAAATTATGTTTCTTATTCATATCAGTATCAAAATCGAAATTGAAAAAAAAAAAACTAATCACAATCAATTATGAAGATCTACATTTTAAACGCGTCAGAATCACTTATAATCCAGTTTAGGGAAGCATAGCGGGCTTTTATTGTAATTGGCTGATTTTTGTAGATCATCTCGTGATATTGTAAAAATATCATTGGTTAATCGAAACTATTTGCAAGACAAATGTTTTATATGAATCTATATAATTCTGTAATTAAAAATAATTGAATATATATTTATTAATACTATACAAAAACATTGGCATTAATGAATACATTACTCGAAATCTAAAAACTCAAAGTCTAAAACATCGTCCCAATACAAACAAAATCTAAGATTTTATCAAAAAAAAAAAATACTAATTTACAAAAAAAAAATATAAAAAACACAAAAAAAACAAATAAAAAAACAAGAACCAATTACAGTATTTTAAGAAACAATAAAAACCATATAAAAAATTTTTTAATTGTACATAATAACAGTTAATTAATGCCAAATGAATTTAATCATATATGTTTCTAAAGTAATAATCTTGGACGTTATGCTATGCTTTAATAATAGACATAAAACTATATTTAACCTCCCATAAAGTTTACAAGTTCATATTTCATTGGTATTGGTGCCTGTGGCACTGTTCGAAAAATAGCATCGGGGTTCCCTAAGGAACTAAAAGTGGAAAAAAACCTTTGACTTGACTGGGATGTATATTCCGGCATTGTGGTAAATGAAGTGTTGGCTGTGTTTTGGCAGGACAATGGTCCGGTCACAATGCTATCAACAATTAATGGTCTTGTGGGTAAACAATGGGAAATAGAACGTGAAAGACAGCAGCCAAGAGAAACAAGCACTAATGCAACAAAAGTGCGTGCGGTGTTTGGCTCCCAATCGAAAAAAAAATTAAGAATCCCCAAGATAATCGACGACTACAACCATCACATGAATGGTGTAGATATTGCAGACCAGCTTCGTTCATATTACAATACGCAACAAATGGTACGAAGAAACTGGATGCCACTTTTTTTCTGGTTGCTCGATACCTCCATCATTAATGCGTATCGTATCGCTCGAATCTTAGGATCAACTCAGGAGCAAAAGGACTTTCGCCTTGAACTCGTGTGGGATCTCATAGATATTGCAACCAACGTAAGGGAAATTCAACTTAGAAGTGGGTCGAAAAAAAAAAAAGAGAGCAAACAGACGAAAAAAAAAAAAACCCCCAAATAGCCAAAAGTAACGAAACACTTTGAACTTTCAAACTGATGGTTTGTAGCTGGTAACCACTTGGTTGAGTGGAGAGGGGATCGAGAATCATGTCTATGGTGTAAGTGGTTGGCGAGTAAAAAAAAATATGGATTTAGACCATAAGACTTCTAATGAAAGCAAACTTTGGTGCGTCGAATGCGACGTACCACTTTGCTGTAATAATGTTTGAAATTGTTTTTTTTGATTTCCATGACAAAAATTATAAAGGGCATTAAAATTCCGTGGGGATAGAAAATATCTCTACAATAAATAACCTTGCAGATTTTTTTTGTAACAAAATAGAAATTGTGAAGGATTAACATAAGGTATTCATTAATTATCAAAAATCTGCCGATATAGATAATGATCCATTGTTATCAAAATAGGAGTGAAATATAATCCCTTAAATGCTTAATTTCATATAATTAAAATCATTTTAAGTGTTTTGCCGATTTAATTGTTAAATTTTAAATTTACATTCAAAATTTTTTTATTTACTGTATGCAGCTAATTTGACCGATCTATCTAAATCAATAACATAAAATTTTATTATGGGTAAGTTCCTATATTACATAGATGACATTTTAACCTAGTCTGTAATATCTATAGCTAAAATCTTAGAGAGATTCAGAAGCTTAGTCCCAATAAAATACTCTATCACAAAAGCGAAGCATATTCTGAATAATTTAGGTTTTTGATCTTCTCTTGTGTCACATGATACACGTGATGCTGTAAAACATATATCATCACGTGACACATGTTCCCGGGGTTACTTTAGCTAATTTTAGTTAGTCCCTAAATAAAAAAATTTTATTCCAGGTCTAGTTTTCTCCCAATTATTTTAGCGGGCAAATTTGCCCGCTAAACCAAGACGGTTTAAGGGATAATTAGAAGCCGAATTTGATTTTTCTCGGAATTTATCAGGGTTCTATAGAAATGACAAGGAATTATATATGTTTTGTTCCGAAAAATGATTAGGAAAATGAGCATTTTCCGGAACGATAGTCTGGAGAAAGTCGGGATATGTTTTTCGAAAATTTCTATAGGGGTAATAAACGGTACATCCCTCAATAATAAAATTAAAAAAAAACTTATCACTATCAAAACATTTGAATTTTAATTCTGACCAGTTCGGTAATTTCCAAATTAAAAAAAGTTTATTTCGATGTTCAAATAATCGTTCACCGATTCCACCCTCTAGTTTTTATTACCGAATTTCACTGTCTATTGAACGAACGATACACACATTATGAGGTTAAAGCTTCACTTTAGTCTATTGGATTCATTTACTAACTATAAACGGTTTTTTTATTTTTCTTATAATTTCGTCTTATATTGAGGTTCGTCTTTTGTCGGAGAGCATCGACTTGCTCAGAGGTTTCGTCAGGAGTTTCATTTTTTTGTAGGGTATTTCACATGAAGTTTCATCATTTCGTCTTTCAGAAGATTAAAAATTTCATCATTCGTCATTTCACAAAATAGTTTCCTAATCAAAAATTTCCCGAGTAGAATAAACCTGCCTTAATAAGAAGTTACGCATACGGGAAATTTTTTTAGTAGCAAATACAGGGGCTGTGTAGTGGCAGTGTTTATACGTAATGAGTAACAATTATATTTGCCTAATTTGTTAAAAATTCGTTGGTAATTACCTGTTCAAAAAGAAAAAAAGCAACGAGCATTAAATTAAAAAAGAATGAAAAGTTTGACTTTAGAAGATAAATCAAAAATACCTTTCAATCAAATCGCATTTTCATTAGATAATATTCACATAAATATTTTATAATGGATCCAATTTATTCAGATGAAATGAGAGAAAAAGAAAACAAATTATTAAGAAAGATCGATTTGAAAATTGTTCCATTTATGCTGCTGCTTTACTTATTAAGCTTTTTAGATAGGTAAAAGAACTATATTTTCTTGATCATACCATGTTTAAAGATAATACTAATATATATGTTTTTTCTTTTAATTAAGGGTAAATATTGGAAATGCAAAGTTGGCAAATTTGGAACGTGATCTTGGATTAGTTGGAAATGAATTTAATTGGAGTTTAAGCATTTTTTTTGTGTAAGCTATTTTATTAAATTATTACCGTATGATATAGTCTCGAAATAGCTCCTGTGAGCATTATTTAGAATAATGGCCCGAATTAAGCTTAATTTGGGCTAAAATTTGAAATCACGCCCCTGCGCGTTATTTCGCGACTATACGGCTATGATAATTTATTTATAAAAAATGAAATCCTATTAAAATTCAATTATGAAATATTTTTTCTTATTTCTAGTGGATATGTTTTATTCGAAATACCATCAAATTTGATATTATATAAAGTTAGACCTTCAATATGGCGTAAGATTTAACTTCAACAATGGCATTCCGTAAAGAAAGTCGTATCGTTTTTTATCTCACATAAGTTACTGATCGTCTTCATAGTCCCAACAATTATGATTGCTTGGGGGATAACAATGTCTCTTATGGCTTTTGTGAGTAATGAAATTAGAATATTCATTATTTAATTAAAAATGGCGCAAATTATTAATCTTGCAATTTTTTTTTTTTTATTGAAAGGTAAAATCATATACTGCCCTTTTAATCACACGCTTTCTCTTAGGTGCTTTCGAAGCAGGTTTAGTTCCCGGAATAGTCTATTATATTACTATGTGGTATAAAAGATTTGAACAAAGTTCTAGAATGGGAATAATTTTGTCTGGTTCATCAATTTCTGGTGCTTTTAGTGGATTATTAACTTATGCAATTGTAAGCCTTACGAATGACAACTCGCCTTTAAAGGGATGGCAATTGGTAGGTTGAATTACTTTTTACTATATCAGAACAAATATATAATGTTATACATTGTTAATATTTATTTATTTTTGTCTAATGCCATGAGATAATTCATTTCGCTTTATGTAACAGATTTTTCTAATTGATGGTTTAGTTACCGTTATAGTTGCTATTTTTGCATTTTTTTATATTGCTGATTATCCAGAAAAAGCTAAGTGGCTTAGAAAAGAAGAGAGATCACTGGCTGTCTTAAGGTTAAAGCACGATGCTGGTGGAATAGATTATCAAAAGCATACATTTGATAAGGTTTATATATTGGAATGTTTGAAGGATTGGGTAGATATATTATTTTATTTGATACGTTTCTTAAATTATTTTGTCATCATTTTTTTTTTCATTATGATTTCTTTTTCATTCAGAAAGTGTACACATCAATGCTCATTTTATTAGGAGTTAATATCTCAGTTTATTCATTTGCATTTTTTGTTCCTTCAATCGTTAATGGATTTGGTTTTAATGAAGGTAAGAGAAAATAATCACACATGAAACTTTACCTAATTGTCTAATTTCTATTATACATGTTACACATTAAAGTTATATCCCAATTATTGGTGGCCCCTCCATTTTGTCTTGGCTGTATTTCAATATTAACGGTATCAGCTTTATCCGATCGGATAAATGTTCGTGGTCCTTTTGTGATGTCGTTTGCCTCAATTGGAATCGTGGGATACATAATTATCTTATATTCTGTAAATGCTAATATTTTGATCGGTTAATATTTCAAATTTTTACGTTAACGTTATTATTATTATCGCTGTTTTCGAAATGGTTGAAAATAGCAATATTTTCAATAAAAATTTTTTTCTTGCGAATACCCGATTAGTTTAGAAAATTGATCACATTGATTGAAGATCGACTTCTAACAACGAAATAGTAATTATTATTACTCGCTTATTTATCATTAAATAAAGATAGCTGAAAATCGATCTTTGATCAATGTGATCAATGTTCTAACTAATCAGGATCGCAAAAAAAAAAAAATTTGGGTCTATTGCTATTCTCAACCATTTCGAACAGCGATATTATTATTATTATTATTATTATTCACATGTTTTATTATTATTATTCGTTATATAGTGAAATACATAGCAACTTGTATTATAGCGATAGGTATATCTCCGTGTAGTGTTATTACTATTACATGGTATATATAAGATTTTCTGCGTTTAAATATTTCAATTTCATACAGTATTAAAAAATTTTCTCTTAATCTTTCAATTTTTTAAGGCTAACAAATAATTTGTCACCACCGTTAAAGTGTAACATAGGTGTTGCAATGATGATAAGTGGAGGTAACATGGGAGGCTTAATTGCTGCTCAGATATATCGTTCTGCTGATTACCCTAATTACATCCCTGGGCATGTTATTGCTTCGGGTTGCCTGTTAGCAGCCATTTGTATATGTGCAATTCAGTATGGAATTTTAAGCAGACTTAATGAACAGAAGAGAGAGAAAAGTATTAAAATTAAAGCTTCTAGTTATGCTGACATTGAAGATAAAAAGGAATTAGATGATAGAAATCATAAATTTATCTATAGTTTATAAATTAATAATGAAAGGGCGAGGAGTGTAATTTATCAATGAAAGGTAATTGAATAGTATATAAAAGTTTAGTAATAAATGAAAGTTAAAAAATGCATAATTTTTTCCAGTAAAGTTGAAAGTGAATCAGCTAATCGAAGAATAAATGAAATTATGGAATAGATAAGTCTCTGTATCTATCACCAGCTAAGAAATTAAACAGAAAATAATATTCAAATTAGCTGTATTTTTGAAATATATAATTACTTCGTTGTTCCCTAATTCTGTAATTATCAACATAGCGGGCTTTCTCTGTGATTGGCTATTTTTTGTAGATCATTTTTTATGGAGCGCAGCAATTTCGCCCAATC